CGCACACCTGTCCTGCTGAACGAGTCGTGTAGCCCACGCTAGTGCCGGTGGGTCTACACCGCTCGACTCGGCTCTGTATGTGGGTCTCCCTACGTGTTGCATTTGTTCTGAATGTGTTCAGTTAATTTGTGTCTCAATCAGATTTCTTTCACCTTCATTCTTCGTTTGTATGCGTGAGTCACTGCAGCTAGAAGCCTCCGTAAATATAGACTGGTTTGGCATCAGGCCGCACTGCTCTCTGTTTGAACTGTTCCGCCGCACCACCTCAGATGGCTGTTTACATGTCTTTTTCACGCGTTTTCATCCTAGGCTCAGTTCTGTAACCTCCAACACAATAGTCTACAGAGTAAAAGTAAAATGCTTCCTGGTATTGAGGAAGCCTGGAGCCTCCCAATCCCAGCAGAGCTAACGTCCAGACAGGGTGTCCAGAGCACAGGCCAGCAGGTGAGACCAGATAGACACACACGCTTTCACATCTCACCCTTAGAACTGCCTGTCTCACACACACACACTCTCTCACACACACACACACACTCTCTCACACACACACACACTCACACACACACTCTCACACTCACACACACACTCTCACACACACACTCACTCACACACACACACACTCACATCTGGTGAAACCACGCTCCTGCTCGCCACATCGTCTGGTCATTTTTGTACAGTAACAATTGAGTTATGTCGGTATTGGAAGTGTTTTGGGAATCCTCCTGTAAAACATTTCCAGAAAGCATCTGTTTTCGACAGCGAGCCGATCAGTAGCATGGTTTCTGTACATGAGCTTCAGTAGTGTAGCTCTACACAACCACACTCCTGGGTCAAAAATGAGTTTGACACCTCTTCAATTGGCTGTAGGTTCAACAACAGTACAAGTGCCGCCGCATCTTGCCGTTTTTCACCCAGAGTTGTGTTTGTGCTGTAGTTTTAGTCCTGTAGTCATTGTGCCCTCTAGTGTTGCAGTTCCACACCAAACACTGACGCAGTCCGGCTGGAGTAGTTACTAGTCGAGTATGTGTGTGTGTTCATGACACAGTACAATGAGACGTGTTTTTCTCTCTCATTGATACTGATGCTCTCGCTCATAATAAATGTTTTATTTGTTTCTGCATCTTTTCTCTCAGAGTTCAGTTGTTGTTGTTGTTGTTGTTGTTGTTGTTGTTGTTGTTGTTGTTGTTGTTGTTGTTGTTGTTGTTGTTGTTGTTGTTGTTGTTGTTGTTGTTGTTGTTGTTGTTGTTGTTGTTGTTGTTGTTGTTGTTGTTGTTGTTGTTGTTGTTGTTGTTGTTGTTGTTGTTGTTGTTGTTGTTGTTGTTTTGGGGGGCAGCAGGACACAATCATCATAGTGTGCTAACAGCTCTTATATCAGTTAGGTCTTTAGCACAGGTGGCATGTGTGTTAGTGTTTTATTAATTCTCAGTGTTTTTAATATTGCCGTATTGTATGGTAAAAAGACGTGGTACATTGATTGGCAGCATCTCAAAGGTCAGTCTCTCGCGCTCCAGCGCCACCAACAGTTCAGATTCTTACATACGTTTTGGCCAATGACCTATGAACTGAATGACTGAGGAATAGATCATCTTCAGATTGCTACATGCTTTAGAAGCTTTTAATTTTTTTTAAAACCGTTCACATGTAACACATTAAAGAATTTGAGGGAGACCACAAAACAGGAAGCGAGGCTGTAAAACTGCATGTTGTGTTCACTTGTGTTATCTTTTACTAATATTTAAATTTGTTTGATCTGAAACATTAAAGTGTGACAAACAAGCAAAAAAATAAGAAATCAGGAAGGGGGCCAACACTTTTTCACACCACTGTATGTATATTGACCTGATATCTGTATTATTGAAACAGTGCTCTGCGTGTAGTTTAAATCCAGTTATTCCAAACTTTTTTGGTCAGAATCACTTTGTGTTTTATTCTGTTAACAACATTAAACCGGCTCATAAAAACAGGGTTTGAATGGATTTGTTTACTGTTTTGTCTTTGTGGATACACTTTTCAACTGAATATGATCTGAACAAATTTTAGCTTTAAAAGGCCTCTGGTAAAGACCTCAAACGTGAGCCACACTCAAGCTTGTAAATGTTGTAGATCACAGTTTACTCATAATATTTGAGGTGCGTCTGAGAGTCCGCACCAGACAGATCACCCTCGCAGCTCTGTTCCTCACCTGACCAGAGAAACGTTGTTTAACATTTGCATGCATTGACTGTGTGCAGATTCAAAGTTTGATTTGGTTTTTGTCAGCTGCAGGTGTCGTAGTGTTTGCTTCAGCATCACAAACTAAAACACACTCTCTCTTCACTGGTGTAGATGTTCTCCGTCTCTGTCTGTCTCTCTCTCAATCATTCTGTCTCTTCACGTGTCTGCGGTCTCTCTCAGGCGTGTAAAGCTCAGCCTGGGTCGTCAGGTGGGGCTCATGGCTCCGGTCAGTCGCTGCCCCCCCACGTGAGTCCGCTGGATCAGGCTGAGGATCAGTCCAGTCCAGCCAAGAGGAAGAGGACCGCCAGCCCAGCCAAGGTTTGTGCTCCGTTTGCTCCGCTCAGCGCATCGCTGATATAATGACAGCAGTAATAATCACATCTCTGTCTCTTCACGCTTCACCTCAGAGTTCTACAGAGTCTTGGACCCACAGTTCAGCACAGCCACCAGCTTCCAACTGGTATCTGTCTCCTCAGAAGCTGCAGGTGAGAGCATGATGAACACCTCATGATGATTGTGAGTCCTGAGCTTCATTTACTGGTGAATCTGTGTGAGTGCTGACGGCCCTACCGACTCGAAGACACAGTCCAGCACACTTGATGTTGGTTTAGACCAGCGGTGTCCAGTTCAGCTCCAGCACACCTGCCTGTTGACTTCGATTGGCTGGGCCAGGTGTGTTCGTGCAGGGCTGCAGCTGAGCTCTGCTGGAGCAGGACTGGACACCGCTGGTTTAGACGGTGGGTTTTTGGTTGTTCAGACTCTCGTGGGTTTGCCGGTGACCGATGAGCTGCCTCTCACTGAAGCTGACTTTCTGATGTGACATCCATGAGCATTATTGAGCTGTTTTGGGTTGAACACCTTTATTGTGAACACACGGTCATTCTTTTGTTCCGCTCAGTTGCTGGAACAGTTGCGGGTCAACCGTGCGAGTCTGAAGCCGCTTCAGCTGCAGATGTTGGAGCAGTTGGAGGCTCAGCTGTCAGCCATGCACCAGCAACAGGTACATCAGACCAGGATTCGTGAAACCTGAAGAAAAAGTTCATTTGTAAGAATGTTTTGTGAATCTGGCCCGAGAACCTTCCAGAAGTCTTCAAACTCACGGTTCTCTGTGATGCATCTTCTTCTTAAGTCTGCGGTGACACTTGATTATAAGGTGTTTGTTTGACTTCCTAAATTTACAGTTGGTTGTAATTTTTACCTACAGATGAGGCAAAACTCTTCTGGGCAAATACGAGCCACCCTCCCCAATGGCCCCTCACTGCCTGCTCACCCTGTTCCTCGCGGCCCGGCCGTGCCACCGTCTTGTAACGCTCAGCCGTTAGCCAACGGCCCGCAGCCCCCTTCAGTCGGCAATAATCACACGCCAGGAACCAGAGCGAACGGAGACGTGCCTTACCTGCACCCCAACACACTACCTCACAACTGCACAAGCCCAGGAGACACATGGAGGAGCCAGCGTCTCAACTCCGCTCAGGTCCGCTTCTGCTGCTTAAAAACATCATAGAAAAAACATGTGGTCATGACCCCGCCTCGTTCTGCATTGCTCGTTCACACCTCAGACATGACATGAACATTGAGATTTTTTAGAGACACAACTAAAAATGTGTGCCTGAATGATGCTGGTCTCAAGTATCTGAACGATGTGCAGAAACAGCTTAATGCTAGCTCTTACCTGCATCTGGTTTGTGATCTGAAAATTATTAGTATCCCATAATATCATTGTTTTACTCAATGTGCAACACAAACATAACTGTTAACATCAAAAAAAAAAAAAAAAGTTTAGGTTTTGTGACCCTTTCACTAGCAAAAAGGCCATGTTTAGCTGTGCCCCACATTAACCTGTTACCACATGACTTAAAGCAACAGTATTTCCAAAAATCTGACATCCAGCAGACAACACTTTCATGGGAGGATCATTAGCAAATAATCTATACAAATAAATGTATGTAAATTTCTATCTATTTTATGTTGAGTGCGCGTTGGTTCGTCAAGCTCGGCAACATGCTGCTTGGATTACACACTCACAAGCAGCGTTTTAACACTTTCTCGGCTCGTTCATGCTTGAGTTGACTTGAGCTGAATAATGACACTGTTGTTTTTTTACAGCAGAATCTGAATGGTCTCCGTGGTTGAGTTTCCATTGATTCTGTTATTTTCCTGTTCATTTCTGTGGAGCTGCTTTGACACAATCTGTATTGTATAAAGCATTGGTCTCAAACTCAATTCCTGGAGGGCCACAGCTCTGCACAGTTTTGCTCCAACCCTAATCAAACACACCTGATCCAGCTAATCAAGGTCTTAGGACTGCTAGAAACTTCCAAACCGGTGCGAGTTGGAGCTAAACTCTGCAGAGCTGTGCCCCTCCAGGAATTGAGTTTGAGACCACTGGTATAAGGCGCTTCAGAAATAAAGGTGACTTGACTTGTACTTCTGTATTTCCTCCCGATTCAGGGGCTTCAGAAAGGTCCGGGTTCGCATTGGGCAGGTCCTAATGGAGACCGGATTCTCTCTTCCAGTGCTTCAGCCGACGGCGGCCCTCACAATCAGGTTGGACTTCCCGCCACGACCCCATCGGAGCCAGCTGTCAATCATCTGTCCTCTCCTTCCTCCACGTCGTCCCCCGCTTCGTCCTTCTCGCAAACGGCTACCTCAGGTGCGCCCCACGGCACCGGCCCGACCAAAGAGAGCGCCGCCCTGCAGGCCAACGGTTCTACTGCCTCTAACCACCACAGTCCCGACCGCTCGCCCACTTCCACCTCCGGCTCTCCGGCAGCCGCTTCCGCAGACAATCCGCAGCTCTCCGCTCTTCTCAGGAGCAAGGAGAGTCCTGCCGTGAGCTCGAGGGTGAGCCACATCCACCCGGGCACCACGCTAACAGCGTCCACCGCTTCTTCGCCCACCTCGTCACTGCCACCCTGCTCCGCAGAGCTTAACAAGCCAGGCTCCTCCGCGCCGGGACCACCGCCCGCCGTCACCGTTAACGGGAGCGGAGGGGGAGCGTGTTCAGAAGACTCTCAGAGCCCGCTGAAGCTGGAGCCGCCGGAGCTTTGCATTAAAACCGCCACAGCTCTCAAACCCTCTCTCTCGTCCTCCACCGTCTCCATTTACCCCACTTCAGCAGACGTCCTGAAAGCCTGCAGGTACGCTTAGCTCCTGGGGAGTAATGTAAGAATTATCGCCCTCTAGTGGCGGCGCATGTTTTACACACTGCAGACACACAGACAAACCTATACATGCTGCTGATTGACTTAAAGGTCTGGTTAAACAATTTGCCTGGGTCTGGGCGCAGATCTAATCATAACCGCACACCAAACATGCTCTCTTTACGTTTGTTTAGAATCGCTGTATTAATATTGTTTGCACAGCGAGTTACACAGCATGTTCCTCCTTGAGCCCCTAACAGCTGTAGCTCATGACGTGCAGAAAAAAGGATGCTGAAACACAAGCACGTCTGAACACTACAGCAAAGTATTCAGATAACTCAAACGAACAAGCACGCATGGGAAAGCTGTCTGTGGCATTAATGTGGCGCTGTCGCCTCTGTGGACTGGACCTTCTTTGTTGTTGTATGCACAAACAGAAATATATTTTATACATTATATTTTATTTTGAGGCGCTTAAATGATCAGACATTGTGCAAAGAAAAGAAATGCAAGCTGAATTTTAGACTTGAGGGTGTTGTGCGTCTGCAGGTGTTGAGAATCTGAGAACTTTCTTTAACATTTCAGCTTTTACTAATTTGTAAATATTGTACTCTGCAGAAATAACATTATTCTTCATGTCTAATGTCACGTTTATTGACAGGAATCTCCGGAAGAACGGTCTGTCGAGCAGCACTATCTTGCTGAACAAGTGTCCGCCGCCACGGCTTCCTCCTCCTCCGTCACCGCCGCTCGCTAAAGACAAACTCAACCCGCCAACGCCGAGCATCTATGTGAGCAGCGCACACATGCCCCTGCGTAGAAATAATTAACACTGCGTATATTTGATACAGGTCTAATTGCAATCATAAATGTGTGTTTGTTCATATTTCAGTTGGAGAATAAAAGAGACGCGTTCTTCCCGCCGCTGCACCAGTTCTGCACCAACCACTCCAACCCTGTCACTGTCATCCGCGGCCTAGCTGGAGCCCTCAAACTAGGTTAGAGCTCACATGCGCGCACACACACACACACACTCTCACTCACTCTCTCTCACACACACACACAATTACCTGAAAGGCCAGATGTGGATTCTTGTGGGAGTGACACGTTTCTCTGCAGTTTCCATGGCAACTATAAAACAGATTGAAACTTGCTTTGCCCTCCATTGTTGCAAAGAATTCAAGGACGTTTGGCTGGTTTGCTGGATGAAATGCAAAATTCTCTGATTTACAGCTCACGCTAGTATTATAGAGCCATAACCAAGCTTAGGAGGCTTTTGACACTTGTGAAGCTTTACTCTGTTGAACGTGGTCTGTCACATTATCAGATCAGTTATTAGGTGCTATATGCATCATACGACATGGAGCACATTTAGAGGTGAATTTTGCTGATCAAGAATCCATAATAACATCTGGTTTAATGACAGGCGTTTAGAGGAAGCAGTATTGGCCTCTTGAGGTTTGTTGCAGCCACAGTAACTGTTATAAAACTGCTGGACGTTCGTAGACCTGTATAGATGTTTCTGTCCCTAACAGTCGTTCACACAGGACACTGCTGCTTTTACAGAAGTTCACGGACACATTAACTCCCATGGAGCCCCGATTCATGTGATTGTCCATCGTTTTTAAATTGACTTTAAATTGATATTGAGTTTAATTACAGTGGGTATAGAAAAGAATCACCCCCTTTAAAATGATCACATTTTCAGGGTGTCCGCGTGGTCTTAAAAAGTATTAAAAGTTGATCAATCAATTTAGAGAAAATTAAGGCCCTTAAGTATTAAAAAGTCTTAAATGCCATTTACCAAGGTATTAAATTTTGTATCATCTTTTCGTTATGTATATTTGTCGAATAGTGGGGTTCTGTGTTTGGAATCCTGCAAGATTTGACGTCATCTGGTATAGGGCTGAACGATTTTGGAAAATAATGCTTTCCTCACCAACGACATTAAACACTGTCTACACTGGACGCGAGCGGCAAAATACAGTAGAACCATTATACTCAGTGACGCTGTGTACACTAGATGCGGCGCGACTTTAAACTGATGCCTTGTTCTATTTATGACGTACTGACACAAAGTTCAAATGATTTGCAACGGTTGCTTTGT